CGGCTGTGCACCTCGCGGCGGGGCCCCCAGCTGCTCTGGCTGGGCCAGCAGGGTTTGCCCCTCCATGCAGCAGCAAGGGAGGTTTGCGCTTGGGGCCCTGGCCCACGGCATGTTGCCCGTTGCTGCTGCCCAGCACCAGGGCTGGAGGTAGTGTGAGCAGCTGGAGAGGCAAGCAAACACAGCGGTCCATGAGCCTTGGGGGTGTGTGAGCCCTCTCCCAGCTGGCTGTGGGCCCCAGCCAACCCCGAGAAGGGCGGAAACGGGGAGCCTGGAGCTGCCTCTCCCACGCCGGAGCCCTGCAGCTGCGGCACCCAGCCCCCCTCCCTGGTGCGAGGCCGGAAAGTAGTGGCGGCAGGCGTTTCCCCTCCCCGCTGCTCCCCCAGCTCGGGGCTCCTGGCTGCTTGGCAAAGGGCCCGAAAACCCTCCAACAGGCTTGGTTTCATTCCAAGGAGTGACTTCCCTGCTGCAAACTCCTCTAGGGTCAGCTAAACGTCCCCTCCCAGGGCTGCCCACGCAGAGGGGAAGAGTGGGATGGGGACAGTAGCACCTGCCATCCTGCTGGCTGCCTCTGGCGTGCAGAGGTGCGGGACCTGGCTGGGGTAGCCGACGGGCTTGGAGGGGCGCTTTCCCTCTCTCGCAAGCTTTTGCAGAGGTTTCTGGGGCCAAGCTGGTCGTTTCCTGGAGCATCTCAGACAATCAGGCTGCCAGGCTCCGCCAGGCCGGGGCTAAGCCGCGGGCAAGCGGCGGCAGCAACCATTGTGCACCAGACTCAGTGGGTCCCACAAACCTGTCCCTGCTGCCCAGGCCGTGACGGGGCCAGTGGGGCCAGTGCTGCACCGGGGGAAGCGCAGCACTCGTGCTCGTGGGACTGAGGGTGGCCTGGGCAAAAAGCATTTCTCTTGCCCCATAGTAAGTTCCGTGTGTGGCCCGTCCAGCGTGGCCCCTCACTTTCCCCTCCCACCCCATGCCACCTAGGTGGCTCCGCACTTACCTGTGCGCCATCCCAAAGCTCCTGAACATGTCACTGCAAAGCAAGACAGGAAAAAGCCTGAGCCACGGCACGGGGCCGGGGCTGGAGTGGGGCACGACGGCCCCCTGGGGCTATCTATGAGCTGCTCTCGGGAGAGGCTTCTGGCGGCAGCTGTCCAAGCTGGGGTCTTGCTGGAGGCATGACAAGAAGGGTGCCCGGGACACTGTTGTTCCCGGCCCCAAAATCCCAGCTCTCCCCCCGCCACCCCTGTGTGGCTCCCAGGATCAGTACCAGTGGGCCCATCCTGGCCGCTGGCACCACGCATGCAACCCCCCCCCTGGGGGAAAAGTGGTCCTGGGACCCCCCCCCCCACTGCAAAGCACGGCCCTCCCCAGGGTGCCCCGCGTCCTCACCTGCCACGTCTGCGTGATCTCGGGCTGCAGGGACCGGTCTGCGTAGCAGCTGCACCCAGGACCTGCTGGGAGAGAGCGGGAGAGCGTCAGCACCCACTGCCATGCTGCGTTTTGCCCCTTCCTCGGGACCCACAGGGTTCGGTTTGCTGCTGATTCCTGCTCAGTTGGGGAGCACCAGGGACGGGAAGGAGGGGAGAGCTGAGGCTAGGCAACGGCAGCCACGGGTAGCAGGACCTGGAGAGCACAGCAAGCGCCTCTGAGCCATGTTTCTGCCATTATAATAAGTGGCTAATGTAAACAGTCATCACTCTGCTTCATAGTGAACGGTCTCGGACGCGCATGGGATTTCATGCTGTCTGAGCCATCTTCAGGCTAGGTTGGTTAGGTTCACTCTGCGCGTGCGGCCTTGCTGTCTGTCGGCTGTGGTGGTTTCAAGTTTTAATAAAGGGAAGGCGAGCACCCGGCGTAGCAGGCCAGCACGTGGTAGCTAAACCGTGACCTGCAGCAGGGCCCTGCAGCTCTTCCTTCCCCTCGCGGCCATCTCCACGCCCCAGCTGACCTTTCACACCTGTGCTGGGCAGCCCGAATTCTTTAGCTGATGCGACGAAGTGGGACCAGTCCTCTGCAGCTTGCGTGCAGCTGGGCCACTCTTCCCCATTACGGCTGGGCACCCCCAGCACCATCCTTCCGGCCGGCTCCCTGGCAGCGAGCAACAGGCCCCATTCCAGCAATCCCTGAGCGGAGAGAGGAGCAGGGATGTCTGGGCTCCAGCTTCTCCCAGGCAGCCAAGTCGGTGGAAAACCGGGGGTGCAATTTAGGAGACTGGGGTTGTGCGCTCAGCTCTGCCCTCCTGGAGCAGCCCAGCAAGCTGCTTCCCAGCTCCGTGCCTCAGTTTCCCCAGCTGTAGACCAGAGCTGATGATTCAAACCCTCATTATCCACATGCTGCCCTCGAGCTGGGGAGCACTACTGAGCACTGTTAAAGCTGAGCACCAGCCCAGCAGCCTGTTCATTTTGGGGCCTTCGCCTGGCCCTGCAGCTTTTCCCTGTTCCCCCCTGCCCAGAGCCGGCTCTGCGTTCCCACCAGGGGGAATCCTCCTCGTGCGGCAAATTCCTTGCAG